TAAAAGGTTTAGTACAAGGTCAAAGGTTCTAAAAAACTGCTTTAAAGACTTAGTAACTATAGTATATTTTCATTGACATTGGCTAAAGTTGTTGGTAGGCAAAGGTAGGTAGGTAGATACAGAAACTAGAGTAGTTAAATAAAGAACCTACAAGCAGGTTCCAGGTATGACAGCTAGTGTAGAACCTTCAGATGAACTACTTAAATTAAACAATGACTAAAGTTGTACAAGTGGCTAGTTGTACACTCTTTCTATAATTGCCCTCTGTAGTTGTAATGCAACTATTAGCCAAATATATTATTAATAAAATTCTAGATCACAAGTATTTATCTTAATATTTTTTTAAAAAAAAAGTACTAAGTATAATGTATATTAAGACTATGTATAATGCTTTGTTTACATTTGAGCAACTGTAGTTATTAAAGCAAAATTGAGATTTTAATATATTATTTTCCTAGCAAACTTAAGTAACTTCTATTAAATTTGGTTTATAAATCACTAGTTTAATATTGGTTGTTTGTATTTTTGATATATTTTAATAAAGATTCTAAAGGTTTTCTGTTGTATTATAAAATAAGATTGTATTGATAATTTTGATAAAAGTTCATTAATGTGATTTAATAAATGATTTGTTAATATGCTTAATAATGGTTTTTGGTTTAACATATTGTTAAGTTGTATTGTTACTAGTTTTTTTATATTGTATTTGATATTGTGTTTTGAGTCTATTTTGGCTTATTTTAAGTATGCTATAGGATAGTTAAAAATGTACTTTGTTTTTTGTAATTAAATTTTGATAAGATTATATTTAGACATAGTTGTAAAGCTGTATTGTTTGAAGCTATTATTCAAACTTGACCAAAAGAACTTAATAATCTCACTTTAAGAACATGAACTTGCTAAATTAGTTGTAGTACAATTAGAGCTAAAGAGTTGATGATTGATATTACTAACTACTACAACTGTTGCTGTATAATTAATTTTGTAATGCCAATATAAAAAGTTCAAAATTTTAGAGAATAAATATAATTTTATAGGTTTTATTTATAATTACAATAGTACATCTTTTATTTGTAAACTTTTGAATATATGTTGAAAAGTTGCAGGTTTACAACTTTCTTTAATAGCTGCTTGATATATAAGTATTAAGGCAGCTTTTGTTTTGAATTATGTATAATGATCAAACATGTAATAGGCTCATTATGGTTACATATTTGATTAATTGTTAATCAATCAAATAAAAATATATAGTAATTAAGTATTTAGTAATGCATTTATTAATTAGAGTTTTGATTTATGAGTTTAGTTATAGTAATAATGAAGTAATTAAAGAAGTATAAAGTAATTGAGTAAAAATGAGATAATGGAGTAAGTATGAAGTAATAAAGTAAGTATAAGCTAATTGAAAAACTATAAGGTAATTTGAGAATACTATATTAGAATAGTTTAAAAAATTAAGAGTTAATAATTTCATTTTTTCAGTGAACCTAACTTTCATTCTGGTTAATTTGAGTACTAGTAATCTTTCTTGTAAAATGATAAGTTTGAAAAAGAATAAAGGTACTTCAGTTGAAAAAAATAATATTTTGCAATTAAATAGTAATAGTGAACCAACATAAGGCCAAGTCAATTTTAAAGCAAATTTTGGTGATTTGTCTTTTGAAATATTGAAGTTTTTGTATTAAAAGATGAATATTTCAGATGTTGGTTTAAAGCAAGATTTAGTTAGTAGATTAGTTAATAAATGCAAAGAAAAAAAGAAGTTATGTAGCAGTTTGTTTGAAAAAAGAAGAATAGAAAATGTAGAGGATATAAGTAATGATGAGTCTGGTTCCTATATGCATAATAGTGGGTTTTGTTAAAGGTCAGTTAAAGAGAAACTTAAGGTAAATAATATGGAAGGTGGTGCACAAAGTGTACATTAGTCTTGGAGTATACTAGGCAGAAAGAAGAAGGTGTTAGTTGATTATAATAATAAGAAGTTAGAGCTATAAAGAAAATATAATTTGTTAAAAGCAAGAAATCAGTAAAAATTTAATAAGTAGTATAAGGCTGAGATGTTGATGGACAAAGTGTTAAGCACAGATAAGATGGATTATTATTATTAGCTAGACAAGTGGCTCTGGAAAGGGCATATATAGTTAGAATGACAAATGAAGATAGCTAAAGCATAGCTGCAAAAATAGTGTTAAACAATATGCTTGATTCTATATTTCAAATTCTTAGAAGAAAAAAGAAGAAAGCTAAGTTAGCAATTCAAACATTTGTGAAAAATAAAAAACAAAAGGTAACTTATGACAGAGATCAAAAATTGGAAGACCAGCTAGGAAACATGCAAGAGGTTTTTTTAAATATGCAACAAGGGCAACCTTTTACTCTTGTATTTATACAAGCTCATTTGTTATTCATACTAACTTGGTAGCAAGTATCTAATCAACAGAGGTTAGTGTTAATAGTGCCAATTATAGAGGCCAGTAGTTTGAATCCTTTTTTTTGCAGAACAGCAATCTGATCAGAGTAGTTTTGCACAGAAAATGTTTTCATAACAAAACAATAAGTTTTCTTCAGCATTAGCTGATAGGAGTTTTGATATAAGTAGAAGGTTAAATGCAGAAAAGGAGGTTATATATTATCTGTATAAAGAAAAAAGACATTATACAAACAAATATGGCTCACAAAAGCATTTAAGTACACCCTTTCAAGAGGATAATACAAAACAAAAAAGAAGTTGACAACAATTGAGAGGTAACTTCAGATATACTAAAAAAGGATATATTGAAAGATTGCATAAAGCAACAGATAGCTAAAAGGCTTTATGCAAAAATAACAGTCAGGTATTGAAAGAAAGTTATAAAGCCAGCCTAGTTGATAGTGGATTAGTTAGAATGATATATTCCACTTTTTCTAAAGAGGGTCATAAATCTTATATTGCAGAAAGTGCTAAATATAAGGAAGTTTTCTATGAAGAAGAAGAAGTGAATAAGAAAAGAACTTGAAAGGTTAAGAAAGCAAGTGTGATAGAATTGGCAACACAAGAGAATTCATAGCCAGAGGTGTTTTTGAAAGTGAGTTCCATGTTTTTGGTCTCCAAGCAGAGTCTGAAAAGGTTTTATTTAGTAATAGATCTCAAAAGATTAAACAGAATGCTACCTAGAAAGTTGTTCAAGTTTGAAGGCTTGGAAACATTATTGAGAACAGTTAGCAGAAATTAGTAGATAATAATATTCAATTTGAAAATAATTATTACTATGTCTCAATAGATAACATAGTACAGTGTTTTTTGAGATTTTGTTTTAATAACATGTAGTTCTATTACAAGATTCTACCTTTTGGTTTGAGCTACTCTTTATGGATATTTGTAAAGATTATAAAAGCAATGATTGGAAGCTAAAGAGCAAAAGGAATTTTTTGTGAAAACTATCTGAATAATATGTAGATAGCCTATCCATTAAAAGAAATTCTGTTAAAGCAGTATCAGTCAGTTATAGAAAAAGATTTGAAAGGTTGCAGCTAAATTTAAGTAAAGAAGAAAAGAAATTAGAACCCAGTACAAAAGCCAAAGTATTGTGGTTTGGTAGTAAACACTACAGAAGAGTTGGTAATTGCTCTAGAAGCAAAATTGTTTTTATGATTTTGCAGTTGAAAACATTATTAAGAAGTTCAAATATGTTAGTAAGAAAATTGGCATTAGTTGCAGTAAAGATTCAGAGATTGATAAGAGCTTTCTCCTCTGTGCAGGTAAAATGTCTTAAGTTTTATCAATTAATAAATGCAAAAAACTGTGATTAGAACAATTGGAATATAGTTATTTTGTTGTCACCTCAGGCAATTAAAAATATTTAGTAGATAGTAGAGAATTTAAAGGTTTGGAATAGGCATCTAGCATAAAAGCTCTCAAAAATAAAGTCTTTATTTGTAGACATATCAACAACAGGCTAATATGGAATGTATTAGAATTTGGTAATAGCAAAAAGCTGGTCAAAAAGATTAACATTAAACATAATTGCTTAGCTTAAGTTGATTGCAATTTTTCAGAGTTTGAAATCATTTAGAAGTTAGTTAAAAGAGTCATGGATTATATTGATAATAGACAATAAGATAATGTTAAAGACAATAGAGAATAAAGAGCCATTACAATAGCAAAAGAAATTGCAAGAGAAATTTGAAAAATGTGTATAAGAATGGATATCAGGATCTTTTGTATAAGGTGGGTCACAAGTGAGAAGAATTTAGCAAACAGTTTTTCACAAATAATAGATTTTGGGAACTGAAAGCATCAGCAGAATAAATATATGAAATATTGGGAAAGATATTGCATACTAAAAGTCTTTCGAAATAACTGTAATTGACACAAAATTATTTTGAAATAAAATAATTTTGCAATAATGTGAAAGAAACAAAATAATTTCAAAAGATTTTTTGGCTATTTTACAAAAAATTTAAAAATTAATAAAAACTAAAAATGA